ATACAGTATAAAACAAAATAGATATTTTATAGATGAGAATAGCTTTAAAAAAAAAGAAAAGCCCTGCCACCCACTCAGCCATCTGTATACCCACTGGAGTGTCTGCACTCCACTCTGGGGAACCTGGAGCTACAGGGAAGAGGCTGGTACCTAGATAAGGCTGGTGGGGGTGAATACATGGAAAGGAAGAGAGCTTCTGCTGAACAGTCATACCACCCCCCACCCCACTCTGTAGTGTCCTTGGGCCCCATGCGCCACTGTTTGCTCAGGAGGATTCTTTGGATTGGCTCACTTGGTGTCTTTTCCCCCCTTAAATTTAGTCTCATTCTAAACACTAATATGCATAAAAGTCTGTCTCTGCAGCTAGGATTTTCTTCCAATGCCCATTAAAATACGTACCAAGCCACATAAGCAGAATATTTCTCCTGAGACCCCTGAAGGATCACCTGTTGGCTCCTGCCTATGTGATGCGGACCATGGATCTCTGGCACTCTGCTTTGGATTTCCAATCAGATGGGGAGATCACAGCTTGCAGAAGCCTCAGTCCCATATGATCACGTATGAAGTGCACTCTTCATAGCAGGTTGGCTGCAAGCAAATCAGACCAACAGTCTTGGGGCGAGTGTGCCCCTGATGAGAAACTCTGTACACATCGATTGCAGACTGTTTTGGGCCTGTAAGCCACCTGCTATGGCCAGCCCCTGGATTCAGTGCGCCCTGCCTACAGTCAAAACCTCCTACACTAGGATAGGCTACCACTTGCCCATTCAAGAGATACTTACCATGCATCTGCTCTGGGCCAGGCCCTGCAGTAAGCACTAGAGATGCAGAAAGAACAAGACAGCTACTCTTAGGAATCTCACAGTCTAGTGACATTAATCAAGCAAAACAATAGAGAGTAGAAAATCTAGGTAGTTAGAAATATTGTAAAGTAAAATCCAGGGGAGGGGGTTGGGGGAGAGGACAAGTCTCCTGTTTAGAACAACATCAAATCATTTATATAAGTTAGAACATAGCTCTCCCTCCTTTGGTCATGGTGTGTGCTCAGTGACTTCTTCCCACAGAGCAGGCATGGAGGAAGAGGGAAAGTCACTTTGCAGTGGAGAAACCCAGTGGACAGCAGCTTGGCCAAGCACTGAAGATTGACAGCAGTAGTCCTCAGGCATACTGATAGTGTGTTCCCTGCATATGAAGTGATGTGAAGGTACTTCTTCCCTGTGGTCTTTCCCTAGGACCTACAACCCCAGTCTTGTACTCTGCACAGTCAGAGAAGCCTCTAGTAACCAACTATAGAAATGATCCCTGAAAGGATAGCCTTCAGAATCCCAGTCTTGATGTCAGAAAAACATCAAACAAACCCAAGGAAAGGGATTCTGCAAAATCTGTCTAGAACTCAAACTGCCAACATGATTAAAATCAAGGGAAGTGTGGGAAACAGCCATAGCCTGGAGGATCCTAAACATGATAATTTAATGTAATGGGATCCTGGAACAGCAAAAGAACACTGAGAAAGAATGAAATCTGAACAAAGCATGCAGTTTAGTGATAATCATTTAAAAAGAGATAAAGACCATGCCTATAGTCCAAGCATTGTGGAAGCTGAGGCAAGAGGTTCAGGGTCTGCATACATACATACATTCATACATGTCTCAAAAAAGAAAAACTAAATGAGTAAAAAGGGATAAAGAAAAAACTGGTAGAGCAGTCCTTCAAAATGTCTTCAAGGAGGTGGCATTTAAGCTCAGCCTTAGAGCATGGACTTGAGTCACATCTGGAGAGAGAAGACCTGGGAGAGAGCCTTCCAGCCAGACGGAATGGCTGTATAAAGATCCTGGAGCAGAAACAAGCTTGGGACTTGGGCCCCAGTGAAAAGCCAACACAACCAGAATGTGAGGAGCTCACAAAGCAGTGAGCCAGGAGGTGAAGTCAGAGATGGATGGGCGCCAGGCTGTGTGAGGCCTTAAGACCAGAGGACAGTATTCATAGTTCATCCTGGGTATGATGGGAAGGCATTGAGAATTTTGAACAGAAGGGTGACATGAGCTGATGGGTTTGTGTGGACAACAAAGGGGCAAGAAAGAGAGAGGACAATTAGGAGGGCCTGTGCAGTTGCCAGGGAATCTGTGAGGGATACCATGTTGAACTCTGTGGAAGGGTGAGACCATCTTTCCAGAAATGGAGATGTGGGATCGTTTCACCATTTGTTTCTCTAGTATGTCTTTCAGAGGTGGGAGACCGGAACCCTGAATTCCATGGGCTGATTGAGCAAGGTCTAGTCCACATTTGCAAGAACTTCATAAGAGGGGCACTAGGAAGCACAGTTCTCCATTATTAATTTTAGATATTTTTCTTTAGTGTTTCTAACTTTTTCTAAAAATAAAAGTGTATACCAAGTTGATTGCTGTAAGTTAATCAGAGTAAGAAGTAAGGTCACTGAGATGTGAGACAAAGTTGTTTCTGAAATTTGAACAACTTCAAAATACTTTTAGTGAGTTTGGTTATGTCTTTTAAACTATATATTCTGTCTTCCAAGCTGCCTCAGGTCCTTTGGGGGAAGGAAATACAGCATCAATAAAGCAAAATAACTTTTTTTTTCTGTATTTTAGGAAAGGGTCTACAGAGTGTTCAGGGTCTCACTACTAGATTGGACTTGTAGTGATTCTCCTGTTTGTAGACTCCCAAGTGCTGGGATTACAGGCCCGCGCCACCATACCCAGTCTCAATCACCATCTCAGCATACCCCAGCAGGGCCAGCACAGCAGACCCGGGTATCGAACCCCTGGCCCCTGTGCCTGCTTGCAGGTGCTTTAATCCACTGAGCTATTTGGCCAGCCCGGACCATCTTTTTTTAAGTTGGTTTATTTTATGTATTCATAGTGATAACATTCATCATAGGAAATTTGTACTTGTACATTTTGTACATTGCTTCTTTTTTCCCTGTCCCCCTACTCTCTCTTCAAACCTCCTTCTGCTATTTTTTTCCATAATTTTATTGAGAAACAAATAGCAATGAGACAGTTTCAAACCAAATTGGTAGGACAGTTTCAATAATTAACACATTGCATACATTCTTCCTAGTGGTTAATTTCTGTACAAGATGCAGACTTGATATCCTATTTACAAACACCATTAGAACAAATCCCTCTATTCATTAAGAGAATGCAATTTTATATCTATCCTAACCACTTTGAATACGCAGATACAAAATGGATATTCATCTGTATCCCCTTTTTTTTGTTAAGTTCCATCATTTAAATATTATAGGCTGGGGGCCTGGCCCTAGCTCAGTCCTTTAAGTGGCTGCTTCCACAAAGCTGTCAGCCTCAGGTTGCTGTAGTTCGATCCTCACAACACTCCAGCCGGCCAAAGTGCCCTGAAGACATTCGAGGAGGAAAAAAAAAAAAATCCTTAAATATTATAGGTGTGTAAACTCAGCAAAACAATCTAAGAGTCCAGTAGTCCATAATAGTATTGGGTCTTCTGCTTCACTGGCAATGTCAGAAATTGTTGACCTGAGTCCCCTACAGCTCAACATAACACCATGGCTTTACTTCTTATACTTCATTTTTATACTTTTCTGCTGGACCTCCTTCTGCTATTTAAAAAAAACTTTGTTTCCATTTTTTCCTTCTATTATATTTTTTCTTGTCCCTTCTTTCCTTTTCTCCCTTGTTCCTTGTCTCATTTAAACATTTGCATCCCATTTCTCAATATCTGTTGAATTTTTTTCTGTTGAATTTTTTGATGCTTGTTTGCACTTTTTTCTCATACCAAAGAAACCATGTAAAGTTTACATATGTGTGTCTGAATTACTTCACTTAGGAGCATGGTCTCAAGGTATACCCATTTAACTAGAAATGTCTGAAGCTTACCTTCTTGATGGCAGAGTAGTACTCCATTGTATAAAAACCCCCACTTCTTCTTTATACATTCATCAGTTGATGGGCATTTGGGTTGTTTCCAGGTTTTAGCTATTACAAATTGTTGGCAAATATAAGTGTGCACATATTACTGTGTTATGATGCTTTTAATTCTTTTGGGAAGATACTAAGAAAGGGAATAGCTAGAAGCCTCATAGTTTTAGTTTTTTTGAGGAATCTCCACACTGATTTCCACAGTGGTTGCACAGTCTAAATTCCTACTAATGGTGAAGAAGGGTTCCTTTTTCCTCACAGAACCACCAGCATTTGTTATTGGTTAATTTCTTGATAATATCCATTTTTTCTGAGGTGAGATGGAATGTCAGCATTATTTTAATTTTCATATCTTGAGTGATCAGTGATGATGAACATTTTTTCATATGTTTGTTTGCCATTTTTACTTCATCTGAGAAGTGTCTATTCATTTCAGATGCCCATTTTTTATTGGGTCTTTAAATTTGGAGGTCTGATTTTTTTTTTAATTCTTTTTATATTCTAGATATTAGTTCTTTGTCTGAGGAACAGCTGGAAAAATATTTTTCCCACACCAGGTTGTCTCTTCACTGTTGGTGATTTCTCTTGATGTGCAAAAGCTGTTTAGTAAGATGAAATCCCAATTGTTGATACTTTGTGATAGTTCTGTGTGATAGAGGGTTTGCTCATAAAATCTTTGCCTATACCAGTATCTTCAAGAGTTCTACCTATTTTCTCTTCTAGCAGATTTAGTGTTTCTGTTTTAATATTTAGATCTTTTACCAATTCAATTTTAGTTTAGTTCGTGATGAAAAATATGGGTCTAGTTTTAATTTTCAGTATGTGAAAAACCAGTTTTTCCAGTGCCATTTATTAAAGAGGCTACTTATCTTCCAGTGACAGTTTGTAGCTTTTTTTTTTTAAAGATAAGATGCCAGACCCTGTTTTGTTTGCTCCCCAGCATGTTGCTGGTGTTCAGGTCTCCAACGTTGAACATTTGCTTGATGTCTAATCAGTGTATACATACTTGTTTCCAAGCATGAGCATGTCTATAAGCAACATTCATAAAGCTCTCTGGGCTTACTCAGTCTCTGTGTTTGATTTCAGAGATTGAGATGGTGATCATGGAGCGCAGCAAGCTCTCAGAGTTGGCTGCCAGCACCTCTGTGCAGGAACAGAATACGACAGATGAGGAGAAGAGTGCTGCTGCCACATGCTCCGAGAGCCTGCAGTGGAGCAGGTAGACCCTGGCCCTGCTGAGCTGACCTGGTACTGTTTGGTGGCCCTCTGCCTCACAGAGGAGGAGCTGGGCCCAAGAAGAAGGGTGAATGCTTATTGGTCCCACCCAGATGACCTCTTTTGCCTCAACTAGACTGCATTGCTTCTCTTTGTCCCCCAGACTTCTCCAGCCTTGGGCCACCCAGAGGCATAGCAGCTCCTCTTAAGAGGAATTGGGACAGAGCTGTCACTAGTGCTTGCCTCTTGGAAAGAGGACAGTTGACATAGGATACCAACCTCCTGGAGCACATTGCATCTGGGCCCTACCTACACAATACGGGCCACACCTGCCCTGGCTGCTCCTAGGGGAGCCCCATTGGATCCAGGCTTAGTTTCTGTGCCGTGTTCATTCATGGTGCCTCACACACGACCATCTGCAGGGCTGTACTTAGGGCTCAGTTAGCATAGTCTGTTGCAGCTATCTGCCTTTGCCTTGGGCTGATGGGTCACTTCAGTGATGGCCCGTGAAGTTGCCTCTTTTCCACCTTGGCACTCGCATCTCCTGGCACTGTACTATGGTGCCACCCTCTCCAAAAGGGGTCTTCTTCCAGACTGTCCAGTGAACTGTTAAGGAGGGCTTCCTCATTTGAGGGTAACCCCACTGCACAGGCCCCACCAATTCCATTAGCAGCTTATGTTTCATGCATTTTCCGAATTAGGGTCAGCAGCAATCCTCTGCCATTCTACTCATTAATCCAACTGTAAGTGAATGTTCAAAGTCCACTAATTTTATTTATTTATAATTCATTCATTCATTTCTGTGGTACTGGGAATTGAATTCATGGCCTTCACATTGTCGCCAGCATTTATTTATTTATTTATTTATTTATTTATTTATTTATTTATTTATTTTTGTGGTACTGGGGATTGAACTCAGGATCTTGTGCTTGCCAGCCATTTTATTTTGAAGGTTGCTAACCTACCCATACTTGGGTCAAATTTGTGATCCTCTTGCCTTAGCCCCACAGAGTGCTGGGATTACAGGTACATGCCACCACTATTTATCATTTTTCTTGGAAAATGTTTCGGTTATATAATAGAAGGGATTAATTTTTTCAGATGTACAAGAGAACAATTTTTAGTTTGTATTAAATAAAAGCATTAGAATATGAATATTGGGGGCTGTTTTTATAACCTATAAAGATCTTTTTGATTTTATAGGTTATAAACAAAAAAATGTAACTCCTAAAGCTCTGAAAATTCAGGAAATTATTCTAAGCCCAGAAAGTGAGGACAGTCATTAGATGCTTGGCACAGCATTGGAATACAAGTAATTGGGAAAAACACAAGTAATTAGCAGTGGAAGATGCTTAAGCAAATGCATATATATCTGTTTAATAGAATATTAGCTGCTGCCTTTAAGTGAATACTGTGATGTGTTCAGTTTCTTTAGACCTAATGTGTAGTTTTTAATGAAACATGTTTTGCATAGTACTATAGTACTGTAGCCTTGCCAACAAGAAAAAGAATTCTGTATTTCTCCTATTCTTTAAGAAGCAAGCCAAAATGTGTTTCATCTAAATTTTACTGAAGAGAAGGGTTTTCTTTGAGCTTATTGAGACTGTTTTTTCTAACTTTGGGTGACTCCAACTGCATCTCTGACCATGTGACTTAGTAATGGAAGTTGTCTTGTATGTTCAGCTCGGCCACTAGTTGGCTTGCCAAGCTTTGGGCCAGATCAGTGCTCTTCCCTGAGACTTCATGCCTGGGAAGAGGCTACCCCAGGTGGAGCGCCATATCTCTGCCATAGAGATATGGTCACTGATTGTCAGAGACTGTGACAGCCCTCTGACCCCACTCCCAAGTACTGAGAGGAGCACACAGAGGATAAACAGAGATGGCCATTTGTTCTCTAGGATGGAAACTCCATCTTGGCATTGGATGATTCACTTGCCCAAAGAAATAGCATAATGAAATGTGGAATTATTCTTATATTCCTTGTACATTATGAGCTCTATTTGCATTTAGAGTTAAGTATAAACGAGCAATGAAAAATGTCAAAACATTGTTCTTTTTAAAAATATGATAACGATATAAATTCAGAAAATATGAAAACCTTAAAAAGTATACAGAAGAAACAAGTCTGGATAATTGCACTATCCCAAAGCAGTCATTACTACCTACCATTTTCATTCTTTCTTACCTTTGTTCAGGGCATCCTCCTGGGAATATTGCCTTTCTTCTGTGCATTGAGTCATTTCTCTTATTTTTTTGTTCCTTCTTCTTTTCATGCAATATCATATCCTAGCATCTTTTTCTCTTTATTATACTCTTGGTAAACAGAATGCTTAGTGACTCCATAAAAGTTCATCTCATACCTAAAAGATGGTTTATCTGCCCAGTGTTCTCTTTGTTATTCTATTTGGTTATTCATATTATTCCCAAATGAAAATATAATCCATACTTCAAGCAGCTGGTTTATAAGAAAATGTTTTATACTGTATCTTGTTTTCAAGTTTGGAAGAGCTCACACTGGGAGCTTATAGAAACCCAAATCCATACATGGCAAAACTCTTAACACATCTGAAAGGTGATGGCAGGTTCCCTTCTATGGTTCCAGAAAAACAGACTGAATGGCAATGTCCCCTTTAATTTTTGTGTGTTATACATTTATTTGGAATGATTTTTACTACTTTTTCTTTGCACTTTTAATCAATATTTTTATTGATGATTTGTTTATAGAACTCAAAATTCAGAAAAGTAGAAAAGATTTTACAGACAACAGATCCCCAGATTCACTTTGCATGGAGAGTCAGTGTTGTTAGTAGCTTGCATGTCCTTCCAGGGTTTAGGCATGCCCTTGATTATTCACTGGTGTGCTCAGCTCTCTTGGCTTCATCCTGACACCCAGAGGAGCAGCCACGGGATCAGAACTCCCTGTATACAGGCCCAACCTGTGCATATTGTATTATCCTTGTGGTGAAGGGTGTTCCAGGCCATGCCTTGCCCCTAAAGGGCAGTGTTTGGGATATTCAGCTTCTAATATTTACCACTGCTCTTTAGATCTCACACACTGAGAATCAAAAGTGAGAGACCTTGCTATCAGTTCCTACAGTTGGAGAATCAGTCTAAGAAATTACTGGCCCAGACCTTGGCCAAAAGGAATTCATGAAGAAGTGCCCTTGGAATATTAAAAATAGAAACCAAATAGCAGCTACTAGATGTTGACCCTCCATAGTGTCTGGCCCTGTACTGAGTCCCTTTCAGTCACCTTCAGTCCTGAGTCTTTACAACCTTTCTAACCTGTCATACAAATGGGGCCATGGGAGAGGGGATTAGAAGTAACTGTCCTGAGGTTTGGCAGCTAAGGAGGGGAAGAATCAGGGTGGGAAGCCAGGCAGTCTGGCTCTGGGGTCCATGTCCTTGAACATGTTCATGTTGCTTGTGACTTGTGTGGTATTGCTTGTCTTTCATGGAGCCCAGTTTTCTTCATTCTCCTGTGACACTCATCACTTTGTGTCATGATGATGTATGTTTGTTCAGTATCTCTGCCAACTGGTATGGGAATGCCAGAGAACAGGGACTTCCTATCATCAATCCTGTGTCTGGGACACCTAGTTAATGATTGTAAGTGGCTAAGCAACCTTGCTCAGTTGCTGCCGTAGATAGCAGCTTTCTGTGGACAGAGCCCACTTCTTATTTGTATTAGTGCCCCACAGTCCCGTGCTGGACCCTGCACAAATGAGAGGCCTTGGAGTACAGAGCAATGAGAGGCAAGAGCAGCTGGCACCCCATGGGTGGAGGATGGGATGACATGTTCACTTTGTGCCAAGAGGCTAAACCATGCCCCTTCTCTTTCCAGACCCTTCCTGGATATGGTGTACCATGCCCTGGACAGCCCTGATGATGATTACCATGCCCTCTTTGTGCTCTGCCTCCTGTATGCCATGTCTCATAACAAAGGTAGGTGTGCTCTCATCTGCCTTCTTCCTATGGCCTGAGGCTACTAGATCACCCCGCTCTGCTGCTTGGAGGGGAAAGGAGAGCATATCTTGGGGGACTTTCCTTTCTGGCTGCTGAAGCAAGCTCCACAGCACTCTTCTTAGCCTCCTTCCAATTTCTCAGGTGATTTTTTACAGACTGAAGCCACAGGAATTGGTGACTCAGGCAATAAGGGGAAAGGTTAGAGTGTTGACTGTCTAACCCACTGTGACTGTCTTCACACTGTGGCTTTCTGTCAACCCTTTTACAATTGACTTAGCCAACAACTGCCTTCCCAACATCAGAACTGAAATCAGTCAAACCATAACCTTGGTTTTGCTATTTATAATTCTTGGTGTTCCTGCTGTAGGTTCAGGACAAAAATAGACCAGGGTAGATTTTGTTAAAGTGTAGGTTTCCTTTCTAAAGAAAGATGTGGTTCTCTGGCTTCCCCTGTTGAGGTTGTATGTTCAGGATCCAGCTCCTGTGGAGTTGACAGTTGACTAGGATTCGTCATTCCTTACTGCTGGCTGCTGGGAACAGCCTCTGGTGTTTCCCCCATCTGGCTTGATATGGCGTGTTTGAGAACCTCTACATCAGGCTCTCATCAAAGAAGAATTAGGAAATATTTCTTATAGCCCTGCCAAGAATTGAGGATGGCATAGATGACATGTTGCACTGTATTGAGTAACATTTTTGGAGGCATCTCATAGGCTTATTGAGAAGTTGATGGAGTTTGTTTTTACTAATTCAGCCTGTGGCTAGAGATATTAAAATGTATCAATGCTGGGCGTGGAGGCACACACCAGTAATCCCAGCCTCTTGGGATGCTGAGGCAGGAAGATCACAAGCTTGAGGCCAGCTTGGACAACTTAGTAAAACCATCTCTCAAAGTAAAAAGAGCTAGAGATATAGCTCAGAACACCCTGGGTTCAGTCCCCAGTATGGTAACAAAGCAAAACAAAAACATACGTTCAACATAACTAAGCATTTATTCTTAATCATTAATTGTGAAAACTAAGGCTGCTGGTAGCAAGTAATGTAGTGGCAAAAATTTCTTCCCTACCTTCAGCCTTCAGCTATCTTCCTCAAAGGCAGCTTATTCTCCCAGTTTCTTGTGTGTCTTTTCAACAATAGCTATGAAAACCCAAGTAGGAGTACAAGTGAATTTATTGCTGCAGCTACTCCCTCAGCCATAAATATGTCATGCTATCTCTTATGACCCTCTCGTATCATCACATACCAGCACGTTGCTTCATGTCTAGGTAGAAGTGCCGGATGTGCTGTGATCACACGTGAACCTCCTGTTTTCAGCCTCCCAGGCACTGGGATTACAGGTGCTGTCACCATGCACCCCGGGGGGCGGGGCTGGCATAGCATGAAACATGTTTCTTTTTCTCTTTTTCCCTCCCCTAATATAGGGGACCAACCCTAGGTCCACACATGCTTGGCAAGTGCTCTAGCAATGAATTACACCTCAGCCCCACAGCCTGAGCCTTTTAAAAGGAAAAGTAGCTCCAGATCCTGATGACATCTTCCTCTGCAGTCTTATTGTCTCCCAGGGCTTCTGTACTTGCCTATAGTGTCTGGCTTTATGCCTGGCACACAGGGACCTTCCACTACTGAGTGTAAAATGAACTCCATGAGACCTACCAACCCCTACCTGTGCATTGCCCCTGACCCCACCTCTGTGCCCTCCTCATTCCAACAGCTCAGCTTTAGCTCTTCCTCAGTGCTTTGGCAACACCTTGAAACACTGCATTCCTATCCTCTGCCATTCTCTTCAGTTGAAATTGCCAGCCAAGCTTGAAACTGCTGTGACCTTAGCTGTCTCACTCTTGTGTTCCCAGAATTTACTCATCAGATGTTGTCAGTTCTCCCTTTTCAGACTATCTGATCAGACTTTTTAACTGAGCTCCTTCCTCAGTGCCTGGCTCCAAGCAGGTGCTGAGGCACGGACCGTGTGAGGTCTCGCCCTGGTATTCCAGTGGTCATTATTCTAGGCTAGGGCTAGCCACCAGCCTTCTAGAAAGATCAAGCATACTGCCATTTTATAATCTGTTCTCTGTCCCACTGCCCAGAAACCTTTCGCAGTAAGAATGCTTTGACCCAGCAGGGGTCCTGTTCAAAAACCACTAATGTCTCCTCCCCTACTCTCACCTCTCCCTTCTTGTACCTGTTATTTGGGGGATCCAGATTGCACCTTTGCTCCCTCCCAGAGGCCTTCAAATTTTTGCACAGTGACAGAAACCTTTTATGCAGATAAAACTAAGTCTTCAGTGATTTTTTTGGTGTCAAGCAACAGAAACTGCTATTCATTACCTAAAGCCAAAGAGAAAGGTATTATAGGAAGACCTCTGGGACAAGAGGTTTCTGAAAAGCCTCGACCAGGACTTTTAGCTGACTAGAACCAGGAACCAACCAACTCTGGTACCTCAGCCTTCCCTTAAGGGCTCTGATTTGGTCCCAGCGGACCCCAGGCTGGGAGTCTGTCTGTTCCAGGTTCAAATTCTTAGATAAAACCCTAGTTTAGTGTTGTCTAATTCTGAAAAAGTGCACTTGGTCCTGAGGACTCAGCCTGTTCCCTAGAACGGAACTCCTTTGGAAGCCTCGGAACCACCCTGGTCAGTATCAGCACACCTATGTTCCTGGAGTCTAGCTTCTTTTTTATTGGTTGTTTTTCCTATTGTTATCTTTTCTCCAGCATCATTACCTATGGAAATGCTGCTTGTCTTTCAAGGTTCTGCTCAGAAGTCACCTTCTCCAAGAAACTTTCTCCAGTCCTTTCAGGGTTAATGCCACCTAATGTGGCCCTTTCTATACATAGCTGGATTTGATTTGCTAACACTTTGTTAAAGAATTTTTGACTGATACTGGTGTGGAGTCTTCTGATTTTGCTCTCAGCTTTTGCTTACTTGTATAATGAACTGTAAAATACTCTTTCTTCAATTTTCTGGAAACAGATTTTGGAGAACTAGTTTATTTCTTTTTTAAATGTTCCTTAAATCAACGAAACTATCTGGCCCTGGAGTCTTCCATGAGATATTTTTCTTTGTTTTTGCAGTATTAGAGATTGAACACAGGGCCTCACTAAGTAAATACCCTACCACTAAGCTACATCTCCAGCCCCTTTTAAAAGTTTACTTTGAGGGTTGGTCTCACTGAGTTACTCAAGTTGGCCTAGAACTTGCTATCCTCCTGCCTCAGCCTCCTGAGCAGTTAGGATTACAGGTGTGCACCATCATGTCCAGCAGAGCACAAATTTTTCATCATTCAGTTTCTTCAATAGAAAGAATGTGATTTAAGGCTCTTTGTTTCTTCTTGAGTGAGCTCTGGTTAATTTGAATCTTTTAAAGAATTTGTCATTTTATCTGCATTGCTGAATTTCTTGTCATAAATTTGTTCATGATACTCCTGTATCATCTTTTTGTTATCTGTAGGATCTATAGTGATGTCCCCCCTCTAATTCGTGGTATTAATTTGGGTCATAGATTTTTTTTTTTCCCTAACCAGTTTGGCTAGAAGATTGTCACTTTTATTGGTATTCTCTATTGTTCTTCTGTTTTCAGTTTCTTCGATTTATTTCTTACCTTCTGCTGCTTATTTCAGATATAATTTACTCTTCTTTATATAGTCTATTAAGCTAGAATCTTGGATTATTGCCTTTTAAGTTAGTCCATTAATTTTAATTTTAAATTAATACAGAGTACAGTTTAAATCTTTGCATATAGTTCTGTGAATTTTAGCACACATGTGGATTTATGTGAACATCACCACTATGAGGGTATACTACAGTTTCTTTTTCAAAAGTATATCCACAGGGGCTTTGTTTGGGTTCTTTCCTGTCTGTGCTGAGGCTTGGGAACTCTCTAGACAGTGGGCTGGAGTACTCACTGGGCCATCTCCTTAGATTGCTCTTTTTCAGGGTTACTCTTCTGTGCAGCCTATTATTTCCAGAATCTGCTAACCATTGGTTTATGTGTTTGTTCTTATTTGCTAAGTTGCTTGAATCTGGAGGGTAAATATGATGCATCTTGTCTGGCAATCAGGGCATCATTTTTTAATTTAAAAATTGAGGTATAATTAATACACAAAAAGCTGCATACATTAAAGTGAAGAATTTATTATTTATTTGTTTGTTTGGTACAGGGTCTCACTATGCAGCTTAGACTGATAGTGATCCTCCTGTCTCAACCTCCCTAGCTCTGGGATTACAAGCATGTGCCAGGTTTTGGTGGCTGGCGTGGTGGCTCAGCATGCAATACCAGGGATCAAACTGGGGTCCTTGCACTTGCCAGGCAGGCACTTAGACTCCCAAGCTATCTCTCCAGCCCCAAAATGAAGAATTTAATATACTTTGATAAATGGTAAACACTCATGAAATCATCAGCACAAGCAAGACAGTGTTCATGTCCATCACCCCAAAAGTTTCTTCATGTCCCTCCTTGTCCTCTCACACCTTCCTCCCTGGCAACACTGATCTGCTCCTTCCTGTCACTTTCTAGAATTTTGCATAAATGTAATCATGCAGTGTATATTCTTTTTTTGTATGGTTTCTTTCAGTCTTCCTGATTATGTTAAGATTCATCCATGTTGTATGTATCAGCGATTCGTCTCTTGTTGCTAGGCAGCATTCTGTTGTATGAATGTAACACAATGTTTTATATGTCTGTTAATAGGCTTCTGGTTGTTTGAAGATTTTAGCCGTTACAACTAAAACTGCTATGAATATTTATTTGTGTACAAGTCTGCAGGGACATATGTTTCCTTTTCTCCTAAGTCATGTAGAAGGTACATGTTTACCTTTTCTTTTAAAAAGAAACTGCCAAAAATAAAAAATAAAAAAAAAATAAAAAGAAACTGCCAAACTGTTTTCCAAAGTGCCTATATAATTTTATATCCTGCCACTAGTGTACAAGTGTTCCAGTTTTTTAACATCTTCAACATTCTAAGTATGGTAAACTTTTAAATTTTTGACACTG